TTTTTTTTTTTTTTTTTTTTGTAAAACGATATCAGTATCCATTTCTATGAATGAAAATTAAAGAAAATATCATATGATGATATAAAAATATATATGATGTTATATAGGTTTCATAAATATTTTTTTTGGAAGTTATATACGTTACATGTTGGTCGCAAAACGTTTTAATTTAATCCTCAATGCATTGGAGCTGGGAAAGAAAAGAGAAGTTTTTTCAAAATTATGCGAAATTTTTTTCGTTTTACAAGAAGTTTTTAAAAGTTATACGAATGTAAGAGTTTAAATTATTTTTGATAATCGTATGATTTTTTTGAATCATTGAATTTGTCGATGATTAATAATTCTATGGTCTTAGATTGTAATATGTAATATTTGAAAACTAGTAATTTTATTTTTCAAATGTAAGTATACTTTTGTTAGTCGAAGTTTTTTACGGTTTCTATGTTAAAATTCTTCATTAGACTGCGATAATGAAATGAAAATTTAGATTCGTTTCAGGGGTCGAATGGTCTGTAGTTAAGGATGTATCAATTGAGGTCCGTGACCAATGATGTCATAATCAGCCTGACCATCTCTTTGAACTTCGATTACAAATTTTCACTGATGACGTGTTTAAAAGTGCAAAGTACACGACGATTTACACTTAACAAAGCCAGATAAAGAATTGAAACGAATAAAAAATATATACTTGCGCACGAAATGTTTATATTACAATTTCAAAGCAGTCTATTAAATTTATATGGACATCTATATTTCAATTCTATGTAGTTGTTCACCAACATTTGCGTCAATAAGTATGATACATTTTTAAATATTTATCTTGTCTTTGATTTCAATTCACTCTGTTCACCATTTCCCGTAAGCATTCTAATATTCACGTTTGATCATTTCCTTCATTTGATGTTTTAGGTTTAATTAAATATTTTTTGAAATAATGTGCCAAGTAAATTTCTAATTTTATCGTAAAATAATTCAGCTACGTTGTCTATAACTCAAAATATATTAAAAATGTATACGATATTTAAAATTCAAGATAACATTAAGATTCAAATTCAATATGTTAGTCAAAGAAGTTAATAAAAATAGCAAATTATTATAAAATTATTTTCAATCATTTTCTTATGTTCATGTTAAATAACATTTTTTCACTCTAATAAGATAAGACTGCTGCATAGTTTTTATTTTTCAAAAATTTTTTAAATTTGGAAAAATCTAAGAGAATCGTTAAAATATGCATAATTTTTCCTTGTTCTTTTCTTAATTTTGCACTACAGATTTTCTTAAAGTGTTAAAAATTTTTTTCATGCATTGAAACGAGAATAAGATTGAGAAAAAAATTTGAGAACTGTAGTACAAATCAGTAGCCTCGTACAGTGAAGAATAGATTTTGACTTTCAAATGAAAGTTAACTAATGGCCAAACAAAAGCTTATGTTAGGAAAATTAGATAGTGCGGATGATATTGACAGAAGAAAATTCTGGGATTAGCATTATCGTTTCTACTGCATAAACTTGATTCTTTTTAAAAGAAATATGTCGTACACCGCGAACCATTTAATGCTGACTTGAGCGGTGTATTTTTCCGTTACTGATTACTTCTATCAATATTTGTAAAGTATATATGAGACGAGTATGCATAAAAAAATTTGTTACGTTGTTCGAACAATAGCGTTCATATCAGTATTTAATTAATTCTAATGCGGATAAAACTAATCAGAATGTAGTGGAATGATACGATAGCCAATTTGCACTATATTTCGTTCTATGTATATTGAATTAATATTTTATATTTCTGATTTATTGTGCTCGATAGGACAGTATTACGTTTAAAACATTTGGTAAATATTTTTTCATTGCACAAGTTAGTATGTACTTTCTAGACTTTGAAATAATAAAAGTCTAACAATTTTATTTTATTTTAAATTTATGAAGAAAGGCTTGA